GTGGGGGTGGGGGTGGGGGGGCATGCAGCAATTGTCAGGGGAGGGAAGGACCGGGAGGCAGCGCTGCAGCGAGTGCTGCTGTTGCTGCTGCTGCTGCTGCTGCTGCTGAGGCTGCAGCAGCAAGCGCTCAGCTGTGCTGGAGGCTATGTGTGCAGCAGCAGCAGCAGCCGCACCAGCGCCAGCAGCACGGCAGCAGCAACACTAACCGCAGCACAGCAGCAGCAGCAGCAACACCAACAGCAGCACAGCAGCAGCAGCAGCAGCAGCAGCACAGCAACAGCACCAACAGCAGCAGCAGCAGCAGCAGCAGCAGCAGCCCTAACAGCAGCACAGCAGCAGCAGCACTAACCACAACAATACCAAAACAACAGCACCAGCAGCAGCAGCCCTAATAGCAGCACAGCAGCAGCACTAACAACAACAGCAGCATCACTAACAACAGCAGCAGCACCACCAACACCAACAGCAGCAGCACTACCAACAACAACAACAGCAGCAGCAGCAGCAGCAGCAGCAGCAAGAGTGCACCTGCAACAGACTGGATGTTGGAGAGGCCCCGCTGCAGCGCCTGCTCTCTCGTCTCGCCGCCCCCGAAGGCGAAGCTGCGGCCAGTGCCTCCCGCAGGCACGAAGCGGCCCACCTAAATAATAAATAAATAAATAAATAAATAAATAAATAAATAAATAAATAAATAAATAAATAAATAAATAAATAAATAAATAAATAAATAATGAATGGTGGCGCGGGCGGCGGTGCGGCGGGCGGAAACGAAGAGAGTGAGTTGCTCAGTTTGCTGCTTCAGCAGCAGCAGCAGCAGCAGCGAAGGAGCAGCAGCAGCAGCAGCACAGCAGCAGCAGCAGCAAAACAGCCAGGCAGGCGGGGCACTGTACAGAAGCAACGGGAGAGCGCAGCTGAAGCAGACAGGGTTTGCTGCTGCAGCTGAGTAGCACTCAGAAGCAGCAGCAGCAGAAGCAGCACCAGCAGCAGCGGAAGTAGAAGCAGCAGCAGCAGCAGCAGCAGCAGCAGCACAGACACCACAGAAGACAGCGGGCTGCAAGTGTATAGACAGATACGCGCACAAAGACACAGACACAAAACCTCAGCAGCAACGCATGCACACAAATGTAAGCAGCAGCAGCAAATGCAGCAGCAGCAGCAACAGCAAGAACACCAATAGCGGCACATAGCAATAGCAACAGCTACAGCAGCAGCAGCAGCAACAGCAGCAGCCACAGAAATAGTAGCAGCAGCAGCAGCAGTACGTGTGGCACCGACAGCGACAGCAACAGCAGCAGCAACAGCAACAGCAGCGGCAACAGAACCAAAAACAGCAGCAACACAAGTAACAGCACCCGCAGCAGCAACAGCGACTGCAGCAGTGAACGCAGCTGCACCGACAGCTGCAGCAACAGCAGCAGCAGCAGCAGCAGCAGCACTAGCAGCAGCAGCAGCAGCAGTAGCAGCAGCAGCAGCAGCAGCAGCTTACCATGGACACGCCGCCCCCAGCAGACTCTGTGAATTGAAGACCTTCAACAATGCCGCTCTCCTCAAGCACGGCCCCACACCTGCACCCCAGAGCAGCAGCAGCAGCAGCAGCAGCAGCAGCAAGCAGATGCTCCCGGACAGCAGCAACGACACTCCAAGCAGCAGCGCTACTACTGCTGCTGTTACTGCTGCTGCTGCTACTACTGCTGCCATTGTTGCTGCTGCTACTGCGACCACTACTGCTACTGCTGCTGTTGCATATGCTGCTGCTGCCGCCGCTGCTGCTACTACAACTACCGCTGCTGCTACTACAACTGCGGCAGCTGCTGCTGTTCTTGCTGCTGCTGCTACTGCAACTACGCCTGCTGCTGCTGCTGTTGCTGCTGCTGCTGCTGCTCGCACCTGCAGCAAGTGAGTTCTCCCTTGTTCTCGCTCCTCTCCAGCTCTTCGCTGCCGCAAAAGCGGCAGGTCTTGGGGCCCGCCATTTTGGCTGGTTTTGCTGCTGCAGCTGCAACTAGTTGCTCTTGCAGCAGCAGCAGCAGCAGCAGCAGCAGAAGCCCCAGGCGCAGCAGCAGCAGCAGCAACAGCAGCTGCGAAGGTCTCCGCTTGGGCCCCTCTGAGCCCCACGCACACGATCCTGCGGGGTTACGGTGTACGTTCACCTGAAATCCAAGAAAGCCCAGAGAGCTGCTGCTGCTGCTGCTGCTGCTGCTGCTGGCGGTACGGGGTAATCCTGCTGCTCAGCGTGCTGCTGCTGCTGCTGCTGCTGCTGAAGCTTAGATACCCACCAGAGGGGCATTTAGGGGCCCCAAGGTAAGCAGGGGGGCCCCCGGCTGCTGCTGCTGGGGGCCCCAGTCGCTGCAGGGGCCCCCAAGAAGAAGCAGCTTGAAAGCTTCTTGAGAAAATATCTGTGTTCTATGTAAAATAAAAAGCAGATCTGCTAATGCAGCATTTGCTGCTGCTGCTGCTGCTGCTGCTGCTGCAGGTAGCCTTTCTTGACACGAGCAGGGCCCCGCAAGCTGCTGCAGACGACAGAGCAGCAGCAAGAAATCCCCAGGTGTATTTATTTTTTGTGTAAATTAGAATTCTAAATAATTAATTTAACAAAATAAATATAAAATATCTCGTTCACTGCATCATTTCCCGCAGCAGCAGGATCCTACAAGCCACAGACTCGACCCTACGCTGCAGCAGAGGGCCCCCCGTAGCTGCTGCTGCTGCTGCTGCTGCTGCTGCTGCTGGTCTTTCTGAAGGCCTTTAGGCCGGCTATTTTAATGCGGCCATTTCCATGTCAATTGGGCAAGTAAGCTGTGTGGCCAGCTGCGGGCAGCAGCAGGCGCCCTTAGCGACGCTGGTGCAGCAGCAGCAACAGCAGCAGCAGCAACAACTGCAGCAACAGCAGCAACAGCAGCAGCAGCAGCAGTCCAGCTTCTACAGAACAGAAAACACGGGCAGCAGGACCCTAGGGCTGCGGCAGCGGCAGCAGCAGCAGCAGCAGCAGCAGCAGCAGCAGCTCGCTGCACTGGCGCAGGTGTACATACACTCCGCAATGCATATAACGAAAGAGGCACAAATTTAAATGTAGAAAAGTAACTAATTTACTGAAGTTCACATTATAATATACTTTTATTGAGTCTAGGAAGTAAATATAAACAAGTAAGACGAACAATGGACTTGCTGCTGGCAGCAACGCAGGTGCAGCAAACAAAACACTATGCAAGTCTGGCTCTGCAGGCAGCAGCAGCAGCTGCTGCAGCAGCAGCTGCCCAAAATTAAATATTTATTTCATAAGTCCTGCTGCGGGCCGTCTGCGGCCCCAGGGGCCCCCTAGGGGGGCCCCAGGGGGCCCCCAGACCCCGCAGCAAGTGTAAAGGGGCCCTCCGGGGGGCCCCTGTGGGGGCCCCTCAGGGGGGCCCCCCTGTGGGGGCCCCTGAGGGGGCCCCAAACACCCAACGGCTCGGGCAATTAAGCTCTAAACGATTTACTTCGCTGCGGTGCCTTGAGGCAGTCCCCAGCGCCCTGCTGCTGCTGCTGCTGCTGCTGTGCTACGCTGCTGCCTCTTTGCTGCGCTGCAGCTGCTGCTGCTGCTGCTGCTGCTGCAACTGTGCATGCGGAAGCAGGCCACGCACTCTGCAAGGAGCGCGCCAGTAGAGGCCCCCTGAATTGGTGCGCAGACCGCCCTGCTGCTGCTGCTGCTGCAGCATCCGCGTTTGCGGCGCATGCAGCAGCAGCAGCTGCAGCAGCAGCAGCTGCAGCAGCAGCAGCTGCTGCTGCTGCTGCCAGCGCCTCAAACTCCCAGGTCCGGGTGCTGCTGCTCGCCCTTCTGGGCAATGGTCTGGTAAGAGACGCCCTTGTGGAGCGCGGAGTGTACAGACACCACAAGGGCGCACAGCAGCAGCAAAGTCATTACAGCATTGCCAGCAAGCAGCAGCAGCAAACAAGCACTGCCTGCGCAAACAGCCCCCTGGAAGCTCTTCTTCGGCAGCCGCGTGTCTCCAATCTGCAGCAGCAGAGAGCCGCAGCAGCACGCGCTCAGCCAACGCCAGCAGCAGCAGCAGCAGCAGCAGCGGCAGCGGCAGCGGAGGAGCAGCAGCAGAGGTGCAGCAGCAGCAGCAGCAGCGCCGGCAGCAGCAGCGGCAACGAAAACAGCCAGCCAAGAGGAATGACAACTACGCCAACACCAGCAGCACAAATGCCAACACCAAAAGCAGCAGCAACAGCAGCAGCAGCAGCAGCAGCAGCAGCAGGAGTAACAATAACAGCAACAAGATCAGCAGAAGCAGCAAGAACAGCAGCAGCGGCACCAGCAGCAAAGACAACATCCCCGCCAGCGGCGTCAACAGCAACAACAACAGAGCACCAACAACAGCAGAAACAACAACAGCCACAGCAGCAGCAGCAGCAGCAGCAGCAGCAGCAGCAGCAGCAGCAGCAGCGGCGGACCTGGACCTCGCCCTTGAGGGAGGCGAAGGCGCAGAGGGCCCCGCAAAGGCCCGCGACGGCGAAGACCGGAGGGTTGAGGAGGGCGCAGAGAGCAGCAAAGCAGCAGCAAATGCAAATGTAGTTAGTGGTGAAGTAGCGGAAGTTTCGCTGCATGCGATCGACTGCAGCAGCGCCGCTGCAGGGCCGCTGGAAAGCAGCAGCAGCAGCAAACTCGGACCAGGGGGCGCAGCGGCTGAGCACGGCGCGGTGCAGCAGCAGGTAGACTCCGTGGATCTGCAGCAACGCCGCAGCAGCGCTCGCTCGCCCTGAACCCCGGCCAAACCCCAAACCCTAAACCCTAAACCCTAAAAGGGGGTCTGCGCACCTGCGAAACCGCGAACTTGGCGCCGCCGGGGTCCTTGCGGCCGTCCAAAGTGCCCGAAAGCGCTGCAGCTGCTGCAGCAGACGGCGGGGAGCCCCCCAGCGACACTGTGGCGCGGGACTCCGCGGGAGGCGGCGGCGGAATAAACTGATCTGCATGCAACTGAGGGCAATTGGAGTCTGCGGAGAAGTTCGCAACGGGCGTGGGGGCCTCGGAAAGGGCCTGGTGGCCGGGGGCGTCGCTGGCGTAGAAGTCGTCCACGGCTGCGGCGCTGAGCGCCGGCTCGCCGCCGCCGACTGGCTCCAGCATCATCTCCAAACGCTGGAAAAACTCCTTTAAATCCCGAAAACAATGAACTGCGGTCGCGCCACGGCCTCTGCGCGCGCGCTTCTCCAGCTTTCCGCCAGCAGCAGCAGGCCGGATGTGCAAACTCCCTGCGCCACGTGTGCCCGCGCTCCCGCTCAAATGCCCACTCACAGCTCAGCCTTCCTTTATTTCCTTTTATTCAGAAACGCGCAATTTAAAGAACTCGGGCTGGACGCGAAGCGCACAAGAACGCCGCGCGGGACCCAGAGCTGCGCGGCTGCCGCCGTCCCGCCGGTCAGTCAGTCAAGCACACCCGCCGGGTGTCTGCTCTCTTTCTAGCGCCAAAATGCTGTCCTTTTCTCCGCAAATTTATCCTATTTCGGCGCTTCATTACCGGCCGCGATTATTTCGTGGAAAAGAACACTTCAACGCCCCTGCGCCCGCGTTTTCCCGCAGACTTGCCGCGGCGCAGAAGCGAAGTTGCAAACAGCGCAGCGAGCTGTCTGCCGCCGCCGCTTGCGGTGCATCTTCGCCTCTTTCAGGACTAAAGAAAAGTATTTCTTGCTTACTTACGACTTCGCTGCTATTGGACCAACTTCTGTTTTCCCCCGTAGCCTTTAGAAGCAGCTGCAGCCGCAGGAGCACCCCGCCACGGAAACCTGCGCTTTCCAAGTGACCCCCTGGCGACACACAGCAGCTTCCCTGCTTCAAAACGCCACAAAAGTGGCTGCTTACGAATAAAAGACACTCTCGAGCTGCCCTTAGAGTGCTGCTGCAGGCGGCCACAGCCAAACTCGTCGCTTTCAGCTGTGGAGCCCCTGCTGCAGCGCAGCTGCGTTAGCTGCCAAGGAACTCTGCGTTGCAGTGCAGCATAGCCCGATAGCCTCTGCAGCATTTGCTTCTTGCAACAAGCGACGCTCTAGCGGCGTCTAGCCCCCCGAAAGCACCATTTGGGGGCAGTCGATGAGCTCTTACTTGGGCCTTTTGCTTCTCTTTTGCCCCCAGAACTTCTCCTAGGTGCCTTCCGCGGCACTTAATTGTCTCATTGCAGAAAGCCACACTTTCCCGAAGCGCTTTAGATGCCCCAGGAGCAGCCCAGCTCAGCACCCAGAGGCAGCTTTCCTGGGGGAGCGGCTGACTACTAAAGACAGGCTAGCGAGGCATTACTAAGTCTTGCCGACCCCAAAGCTCCAAGCTAGAGGCTGCGGGGCTCTTTAGGCTTTATTTTGTGAACCATTTTTGCTTCTCTAGAAAGCTTTTGGCTAGCCAGCTAGCTGCAGCTGGCGCCGGGCGATCCCCAGCGGGCGGCCCGCGGACTGAGGGGTGCGAAGCTCAAGTATTGTCATGGTTTCTTTAGAGCTGAAGAGCCCTTGACTGAAAAGCACTTTTTTTCTGCAAAAGACAGCATTTATTTGCGAAGCTTGGGTGCAAACGCAGGCCAAAAGGGCCCCGGGAATGCAGCAGTGGCCTCCTAGAGCTGGTAAGCAATGAACTTTTCAAGATTAGAAAGTTGAATTCTGAGCATCTTGAGAGTATTGAACATATTTACTTCGCGGGCGAGCAGTCTGTGGAGGAGCTGCAGCACCCGTGAAGGGATAAATCTAAAATTGCCCTCTTTAGAGTTTCTCCCCAGCGCAAGTTGCTGCCTTTCTATGGGCTTCTTAAGTGCTGCTGTTGCTGCTCATGGGGCTTCCGCGCAGCGCTGCCACTTGCGAAGCAGCAGACACAAGTGCTTCCATGAAGGCTCTTAGCAGCAAAGGCCTTGCTGGTCCTCAGGGGGGCTGCATTCCACGAGAAGCTGACAGTCTAGGACTCGTTCTCTGGGGTTTAGGATGCTTTCTAGCTGTGTACTATTAGGCTCCTTGCAAGTGCAGCTTTTGGGCCAAGCAGCCACACTTGGGGCCGGAAGTTGCTTCCAAATGGAAGCATTAGCAAGGAATACTGATCATAAGGAGCCATGAAGCCGCAGAAGCGGTGCAGAAACCAGAAATGCATACCTGGGCAAGGATAAAGAGTTCAGAATGCAAGGTTCAATCCCTCCAATAGGTGGAATGATAGAGTCTTTGTGCAGTGTGCTGGCTGGGATTTGGTGAGCGCCTTAGGCTTTCAAGAAAACTCTCTCTAAAGGGAGAAAGAACTCTACTTGAGGAGAGCAGATTATCGGAGGCTGAAAAATCGCCTGCAGCCTCTTCAGAAGCCCACTGCGAGCTTCTGTTAGCAGCAGCAAAATAAATATGTATTAATTGTGTACGTTTAAATATATATATATATATATTCTACGCCTTTATGTGCATTTAGACACGTGTGTGCATAGATATATACTTACATATGTACTCATATTTCTCCTGCCGCTCCCTCACGTGATTGTCAATGCTCTTGAACCAGCAACATATATGCTGCTGACAAGAGAGGTATCCTGCACTGCCATTTACTCTAAATGCCCCTCTATAAAAGCCCCTCTACAGAAATGCGATCTCATGCTTTCTGCAGTACATCTGAGTCAAAAGCAGCGCCACGCAGAAGACTAGCTGCCAGCGAGCTTGACAGGGAAAATGTTTAGAGGAGTTTCTTTCAAATTCAAAGTGCGCCGAACGCCTGAGCTTTTTGTCTATTGGCTGCGTCAAGAAACAGAGCCTTTACTTATCCTTTTTGTTCGATCTTTCGCCTTTCCGGGCAAAGCCACCTGCACAGCGACCCACTGCTGTGGAAGCACTAGAGCCCGTGCTCTGCGAGCAACAGCAGCTGCTTTACTGCTCCAAATGCCTAAAATCCTGAAATACTAGTTAAGTTCCAGCGCCTTAACGGCTCCAGGGCTGCGCCTGGACAGAGAAAGGCGAGTGTGGACGGGAGTTCTGAGTCGCGGAGAAGTTCGGCGAGAAGTGCAGTCTAGCATAATCGCGAGGCCTTTAAGGCTGCAGATGGAAGTATGAGTGAAGGAAACTAAAAGTCCTCGTGAACTAAAGCTATCTTGGGGCTCTGTGGTGCTGTCCAGTGGGTGTTATTGCCTGATCTGCCAAAGTTCAAGCCCTGGAAGTGAGGGCTGACTCGAGCCAGGGAGATGGCGAGGTTAATTCAGAACAGACACATATTTTTAATGTTCACCACATCGCCAGGCGTTGACTGATTTGTAATCTGCAAACAAATGCAGCAGAAGCTACCTCCGCCATCCTCTCCAGCTTCTCAAACAGCAAGCGCATCAACCAGCAACAAATGCAGCAAGGCAAGCCTGCTGCTGCCTTGCACAGCGCCGGCTCTTTATTGCAGCAGCAGGAAAGCAAAGTTTCGACACGAACAGACGGCAAAAGAGCGCTGAGGCAGCGGGGAGCTCGAGCTGCACACCTCAGACCCAAACTGAGAAAGCACTGCCTAAATTTGAGCAGAGACCGAAGACATGACTCGACTAAAACGCCAAAACTGTCCTGCATTCGCAAGAAACCCCGTAAGCCCAGAGGCCCAAACTGCAGATTCAAAGTCTGCAGCGCTGCGGCCCCGAGGCCACGGCTGCCCTTCTGGGGCGGGCCTGGCAAATAAGGGGCGGCGGGGTGTGAGGGCCTCTGCAGGGCTGGGGAAGATGGCTATGTTGAATTTCAGAATCTTATTAGCAAAGCACCACTTTCCGGGAGGAAACCCGGAAATGGCGGCGTTTGAAGCGCAGCGGGCCAACGCCACGGGGAATCCTACGCAAAGTTAGGCTCAAAAGGCGAGTTTATGTTTCAAATTATATTATAAAAGCAGCACTTGGGCTGAAATCAACAATTCCAGGTGGCGGCGCTGCGCAGCATCCCGCAGCAAATCAGCGACGCCCGCTGCAGACGCGCGCAGGGCACCCACAGGGGGTTGCGTGCTGCCAAGGAGCGGCGGATTCTTATAATCTCGCTGGAGAAATAGAGGCAATTAAATATTAGTTGTGTGTGGCACTTGGTGGATGAGACGGGATAAAGCTGCTGTGTGGGGCGGAAGGTGATAGGGGACAGACGGCTGCTGCAGCAATTGCTGCGCGCACTGTTCTGGCATCTCACGGCGTAACCGCGTAGATAGGGCGGCTGCCGACTCCGTCGGTTTTTCGAATATATCTGAATTGTTTTTCTCCTTGCATTCGGAGCATATCCCACAACCGTTCGAAAGCGTTGGCCGGCGCAAGACACCAGAATGGCTCGCAAGAAGAGGACTGACGAAGAGGCGGCTGCCGGCGCCGCGCCGGCTGCCAGCACGGGCGGAGCGGCGGGGCACGCCGCCCCCAAAACCAGTGACGCTGGCCAAAGCAACAACAGTAAAGCGGGCGCAGGAGGAGGGCCGGGGCGGCAGAACAGGAAGGGAGGGGAGGCAGCGTCTCGGCCGGGCGGCGCAGCGGCCGCGTCTGCAGCCACCGAGGGCGACCGCAGCGCCGCTGCCGAGGCTTCCTCGCCGAAAGCCGGCGGCGGCGCTGCAAAGGAAGTTTCAAGAGAGGCGGAAGCCGCCTCGGGGAGCGCGGAGAGCTCGCCGGGCTCCGCGGCGGTGCCGCGGCGCGAGATCGACATGACGGGCCTGTCCGCGAGCCAGAAGAAGAACTTGAAGAAAAAGCTGCGCAAGCAGGAGCAGAAGCAGCAGGCCGCGGAACTCAGCAACGCCTTGCGAGTGGGCGCGGGGGCGGCCACGCTGGCCAGCCGGCTGAACGCAGTGGCCCAGCAGTGGGCGAAGCGCGTGGCGGAGCTGGAGGCCAGCAGCTCGAAGGTGGACTCTGGGGCCGGCGTGAAGCAAATTTTCGAAGCCGTGGAGCTGCTGCAGAAGGAAATGCAAGAAACTCTCGAAGAGGAGGTGGGGCGGGCCAAAAAGCCCATCAACAAGCGCGCCACAGTGCAGCAGGTGCAGGAGAAGATCCGGGAGGCGGAGCTGACGATCCAGAAGCAGCAAAAGGAGCAGCAAAAGGCTGCGGCGCTGCAGTCGAAGGCCAAGGGCGAGGCGGCCGCCGCGGAGGCCGGCGCTGCCACGGCTTTGCAAATGGAGGAAGCCATGCGCTACCTCTTCCACTTGAAGGAGCAGCTGGTGCTGACGCAGCAGCAGAGCGACTTGCGCGAATTCCAGCAGCAAATTGCAGAACTCAAAGCCTCGCTGGACCAAATTGCAAAGCAAGCCCAAAGAGCCGCGCAGCAAGCCGCCAGCGCCTCCGACAGCCGCCGCGCGCAGCAGCGCGAGGGGCTGCTGCGCCGCCGCCTCCGCGAAGTCGGCGCTGCGATCCCCGAGCAAAGCGGGGCCCCCCTGGCCTCCGTGGGGGTTTCTTTGCCCCCCGAGGCGAGCTACATCTTGCTGACTCCGCAGGGGCAGCCTTCGCTGCTGCTGCGCAAGGTGGAGCGCAAGTTCGGGGTGCTGGCTGAGAAGAAGAGCGCGGGCGACCGCGGCGTCACCCTCAGCCTCCTCAGCTACTCCCCGGAGGCCTGCGACAAGTGCGCAGCCTTCCTCAGCGCATGCAACTTCCCCCAGGTGCCCCTGGGCCTCGCCACGGCCCCCAACTGCCTCTCCCTCGAGGGCCAGAGCATCGGCGCCTTCATCGGCGCCGGCGGCTCCAACCTCCGCAGGCTCGAGGCGGAGCTCGACGTCCTCCTCTGGCTCGAGGACAAGTGGATTACTGTCCTTGGCCACGAGGCTGCAGTCAAGAAGGCGATTCCCCACATCAAGGTGAGCGCGCCGCCCCAGCGGCGGCAGCAGCGGCTGCAGCGGCAGCTGCGGTTTGCTGCTGATCCTGTTGAAATCGAGTTGCTGGGAGGGTTTTTTTTCGGGAAAAGGGCTGCTTAGGGGCTGCTGAGTTGCTGCTGCTGCAGGAGTCGCGCTCGCCGCCTTCCGCGAGCGACGCCGCGCTGGCGGTGCTCAAGTGCGAATTCGCAGCCGAAGTGGTCCGGGCCATGGCCCAGGGCAGCGCCAAGACCAGAGAAAAGCTGCAGCAGCTCGAAAGCAGCTTCGGAGTCACCATTTTGGTGCGGCCGCTGCGCCGCGGCGACCCCAGCAAGGTGGCCGAGGTGGCCGTCCGCAGCGCCGACGCGGAGGCCTGCAAGAAGGCCTGCGCGGAGCTGGAGAATGCCTTCAAAGGATTCAGCGCGAGGTCTGTGGAGTGCGACAGACTGAAGGCCAACAGGATTCTCCGCGGGGCAGCTGTTGACTTCTCCAGCATTCCGTAAGCTGCTGCAGCGCGGCTGCTGGGGCGGGGGTGGGGGTTTGGGGTTTAGGGTTTCGGGTGTTGCGCGGCGCAGTGGCTGAGGCCGCGCCTCCGAGCGGCTCTTAACGCAGACACTTTGAAGTGGCTTTTTAGTGCATGCAGACGAGCTGGCTGGGGCTTTGTGCTGCTGCGCTGCAGCGGACACGAGCTGATCTCGCTGCTGCGCTGCGACGACGGAGTTCTGCTGGTGGGGCCGTCGGAGGCGCTGGCGGCCGCGGCGGAGGCGCTGGGCACAGCCATTGACCAGCTGGCCCGCACGACGGAGACCGTGGAGATCAAGGCGACGCAGCTGCGCATTCTTGACCGCACGAAGAGGCAAGAAATCGAGAGTCTGAGCGGCGCCTCGTGCAGACCCCCGCTGCACGAGGGGGAGAAGGTGACCCTGACCTTCAGCGGGCACCCCGACGCCGTGCAGAAGGCCATCGAACTGGTGCATCAAACTCTGGAGGAGCAGAAGGAGGAGGAACTCGAGCTTTCGCTCGCAGCCGCCCTCCTGTTCCTCGTGGACAAGAGCCACCGCGCGCTGGAGGATGACCACGGCCTCCGCATCCGAGTGGACGTGCCCAGGAAGTGCCTCATTGTCCGCGGCGGCACGGGGGGCCTCGACGCCGTTGCAGAGGCCATCAAGAGGGTGGAAGAGGAGGTCACGCGCAGCGGCAAGATCGCGGCCACGCTGGACGTCCCGCGCGAGGCAGTGCCGCTCATCCTGGGCCGCCAGGGCGTGAACGTGCGGCGGCTGCAGAGCGAGTGCAACTTGGACAACATTGTGATTGACGGCCGCCCGCAGGCGGTGTACTTGCTGGGCTCGCAAGACGCAGTGCAGCAGGCCACGACGATGGTGCAGGAAATCGTGGCCAACAGCGCGGGCTCGCGCGCCCAAAACGGAGTCGAAGGAACCGACAGGCGCCCGAGAATGGGCGGCCGAGGCGGCGGCCGCGGCGGGCGAAACGAAGCGCCGGGCCGCGGCGAAGAGGCTGCTGCTTCCCGCAAGAAAGCGGGGGGCGGCCGCCCCGCAGCCCCCCCGAAACCCTACAATGCAAATGTTGACGACGAGACTGCTTTCCCTTCCCTGGGCGTTTGCACAGCGCGCCCGGGGGGCCGCTGGCAGAAGAAGTCGCCCGCTGCTGAGGGCGAAGCCCACGCAGCCACTGAAGCGCCTGCGCAGGCGACAAGTGACGCCCAAGCAGAGCCCGAGTTTGCAGGGGCAGATGAGGCTGCGAACTAGTTCGCCTCGGAGTCGGTGCGTGGAGGACTTCATATTCGCATTCTTAAAAGTCGCGATTTAGGTGTTGTCTGTCTATCTGCGTGGCATAAGATGGCAAAAGGACGTTTGACGGCAAGTTTTGGACCCTATTATGGGGGCTTTCGGGTCTTGGTGCTTCCGTATGGGCATGCATTCTGTGCCCAGAAAGCACCTCGCTGCAGATAAAGCCCGTAGTCCCCAGCTTGGCCGCGTTTTGTTTCTAGCTAGCGCATCTTCTGGCTTACGGGCTTGAGGGCTTGTCGACCCGAGCTTCCACCTGAGGGATGGCCGCAGCGCGTGCTGGCCGTCGCTCCCCAGGTGACCGCTCAGGCGACGGGAAAGCGAACTTATCGTATCGCACCCACAAGAGAACAGTAGAGCCCTCAGGAGTGGCGGCACTGGGTCGGTGATCACAGATCGCTGTCGCCGGTTTTACCGTGCCGACCGCCGAAACGCTAAAACTTAGCCCGTTTCCGGTGATACGACGAGGCCGATTAAATCAATGACTAGGCTAGTTTACGCAAGAATTGTGGCTATTCTGATCGGCAACCCTTTCAGCCGAAGGCAGCGTAACAATTGTGTGAAACTTGAATTTGTTGCCATACAAACAGTTGGAGCGTTCGTAGCAACTTTGCCGGTTTATCACCCTGCAGTGAAAAAAATCTATACAGATAGAGTTTTCAGGTGCTCGATATAGTGATCAAGTGTTACGTATCTTCTTTGCCGCTTTGAACAAACTATGTGGCTTCTGGGCGTGCCAAGAAACTTCCCCTCTGCCACTGGGCGACTCGAAGGAGTACCACACCGCCGGTTGGGCGGCCATTGCTGTGCTGCTGTTCCTGCAGCACAGAGAGAGACACAGAGTAAGCAGTAGAGGCATTTCCCGGAAAATCGAAGTGGCAGCTAAGCTGTACTCGACCGGTTCTCCGGGAAGGTCCGGAGTTGTACAGCGGCGAAGTTCACCGGCCTACCAGAGACTTAGGCAGCCCAAAGGTGAGCAGCAACTGTCGTTTTTGGTCTTCAAAACAACCCGCAGCTTCTCTCCAGGAGAGGTGGCCCTGTATGGCTGCTGCTGCTTCCCTTTGCTGTCACCCTGCGTCGCGGAGGCCGTTGAAAGGCCTCCGTCTTTGGCTATGTCCGCCGTACGAGGCGTTTGCATGCTTTTGACTTCTGCGCAAGATCTACTAGTGACCTCCGCGTCGAATTCCGCGGCTCGTTCAATGAATTTGCCCGATCTCTCCCGTTGCAGCTTCGAGAGGATGTTCTTTGTGTAGCTGCTCAGCGACAAGACCAGTTCACTGAAAATCGTGTTTCGCTCCTGCAGCATTGCTATTTGGTCCTCCGCAGAGCTGATGGACTCTGTGAGCCGAAGCACCGTGTCACGAGCGTCCTTCTGTGCCTGTTCTGCTTTTCTTTGAGACCCTTCTAAGGCCCCCTTGAGCTCCGCAGCCTCCCGCTGGACCGCCTCCAGCTGTTTCCTGACGCTGCTCATCTCGCCCAGTGTCTGCAGTCGCTCGCCGAGCAGTTGGCGGCGGCCTTTCCATGACTGTTCAACTTCTGCAGTCAACGCACTCAGCTTCTCTTCGGCCAGCATGAGCAGCTGGTTCCCGTGGGCCATTTTCGACTCCCACTGGCTCTCCTCCTTAATCCTGAGTATTCGGATTTCCTCCAGCTCGAACAAAGCCCTTTCCATTGCCTCTGACTTGGCCTGCAGCCACTGAGGCAGGCCATCGACGAGGTTTGCTGCGTCTTCCTTGCTGCCCGCAGCTCCCCCCACGGACTCTGCCGTTGGCTCCGGCTCGCTCTTCGTCGGAGGCGACAAAGGGCCTCGCAAGCTGCTGCGCCGGGCTGAAGGCACAGGCGTGGGCTGTTCATGGGAAGTGTTGGCGGCAGTGGAAGGCAGTTTCATTCCCAAGTCCTGCGCGAGCGTGGTGACTGACGGCGCTCTCGTCGACATGGAAAACGGGGAAAGCTTGCCGAAAATGCTGCTGCGCATGCGTCCTCGAGGCGTTTCCATTGCTAGAGCTGCCCCTATTTGGGCATCCAGTGGCAGGGCTTCGGGAGAAGACCGGCTGGAAGCTGCCACTGGACTATGAATTGACTCCGGGCGCCGCGGCGCTACTGAGAGTTTCCGCTGCACGGGCGATCGGGGGCTGTCGTTTGCAGTGAAGCTCTTGATGGCTTTCCTCAACTGATTTATCATTGCTTCCTTCTCAGAGGCTTCACTGCGCAGGCGGTTTACCTAAAAACAAAACAACATCACCTACTCACGCGAAATGAGCTGCGTGCCGAGAGAGCTGCCAGAGTGAACAGGCCTCCCTCTCTTTGATTTGAGTTACTATGATGTTTCGTGCAGTTTTTGCTGCACCGACACTGCTGCTGCGAAACTTAAAAGGCCATCATAGTTCCGCAGCAAAAGCAGAAACAGAGGCGCCTTACCTCTCTCTGCAAGTCTTCATTTTCCTGCCGAAGCCAGTCGTTGCTCCTGCGCAGTCGGGCATATACACACTTTTAAGTATTGCATAGCACTTCACAGTAGTAGTAAACCCAGGAGAAGCAAGTTCGATAGTGACAGAGCAATTAAGTGCAAATAAGTATTGCACTGACTGAAAGAAACTCACGAGGCTCTCTTGAACGGCATGTCCGGCTTTTCTTGCGTTTCACGAGCTGCCGACTGAGTTACGCCGCTCCCTTCCATTTTGCCTACGCGAACTAGCAAGTTATTCAGCTTTACCTTCAGCATCTGCAGTTCATCAGCAGCACAAAAGCCACTGCAAAAGGTTTTCAACAAGTTCAGCAAACCGGAGATTCCTCAAGATCTTTATTCCGTGTAACACGCCCACCGAAGCATCTGGCATCTGCCATTACCCTATTTCTATCCTTGAGGAGTCAGTGCTATACAAACACTCTAAATCCGAGAAGTTCCTTCCGCGGTCAATCTGCAAGCCCTGCCAGCCAGCGTGCAGTTTCCTAGGCAGCACCCACCTCATTTTCTCCTTGATATATGTCCAAGCTCTTCGAAACGCGTCTCTGTTCGCGCAGTTGAGCGTCTTTGGCTCGGAGCTCGAGCTGCAAGTCTTCAAATTCCTCCATCTGCAGCGCAGCAACAGAATTCGGGGGCCCTTGCAGCACTATGCCTACACCCACAGTGTCCATTTCGTGAACTGCCCCCAACAAATGCTTAGAACTAAGTCTCAGCGGCGAAAAGACCCTCTATTCCTAACTCAGAAGCAGCAAACCTGTTCATTGTGGCGTTGTCGTTGCTGTTCCACCTTCTCAGACAAAAGTTCATTGTTTTTGCGGAGCTGTGTGACCTGACCAGAAAAGCAGCGCAAACCATAGGCAAGCCTTCGCTGCGTAATACCAGCATGGGAAATGCATTTCCGGAAATACTGAAGAGTCCTTCATAACTCGCCTTTCCCAGCCAGCCGCACACAACTCAGTGAACGCGTTACCTCTTTGATGAGCACTTGCATCTTTGGAGCAATTTCAGTAGACACAATCCTGTATATGTTCCGAATAAGCGCCAGAAAGGAAATTGTTGCCTCTGGAGTCTCTTCTGGACAGGACTGAGACACCGAGCTGGGAAGTCGCCGGGTGAGGGAGTCTCGAAGCTCCCAAGAAAGTCTGCTGCGTGAAGTTCCTGAAGCGCATCAGCGGCACACTGAGAAGCTCTTGAAATCTATTCTTTGCTGCACTGAAAAGACTAAGCACTTTGATTTTTCTTTTTTATAATTGTGGAGCTTATGGGGCGATCTGAAGGCCCACCCATGCAGGTCTCATGAGAAGCCGGAGAACTGATCTCGGCACTCCCCAAGGGAATGTCCGACCAGCTTCCTTGGTAAGCAGGAGCTTTGGTGTGTAGGGCCTGCAGGTCTCTGTCGAATTCCTTGAGGTGCTCTTCCACTTCAGCCAGCATGGCCTGCGCAACTTCGCGGCCTTTGCTCTTCGAACTCGAGCTTTCGCTCTCCTGCACAGAGTCCAGCGAGCTCACTGGCGCGAAGTCGCTGAAAGACATGCTTTTGGAGGAGCCCGGCATTCTGAGGGGCAGCAAAAACAGTCATGTGCAACTCGGGGGCCCCTGGGGGCTCTGGGGATGGCAGCAGCAGCACGCAGCAAAGCCCGCAGCCCCGGAACACAGCTGTAAGCCTCCACTGCCGCTGCAGCGGCAAACGAGCGGGCAAAGCGCAGGGGCCTTTGCTGCTTCAGTTCTCGAGATTGCTGCGAGCTGCAGCCACGCCTGCAGCAATAACTCGAAGCTGTTGACTCTTCGTGCGGCTTTCCAGAGCTCTTAACTGTTGGCCTTCACCAGCGAAGTTGTCGACGCCAAAGACAGCCTCGCCAGCCGAAGCCCAACAGGTTCTGAGTCCCGCAAGAAACCCGCAGGAAAAGGCTTTTCCTGCTGCTCTACAGAACCCTTTTGCGCAGTGGAGTGCCCCCAGCTAGAGGTTTGCTTCCTAATTGCCCACAAAGAAGAGAATGCAGCTTTTCTGAACACGCTTCGGTGAGTGAATAGTTCGAGTCACTCGGACTGCTGCTCTGTGGACAACTACCGCGGGCAGGACGCTACCGAAGCACCATTGAGTTGCGCTAAAAAGCATTTATTTAAAACAAATTCAAGTTTACAACATTGATTAAACAACTCGCAGCGCGGCCGTTCAAATGATCGGCGACGCCAGTGGCGGGAACATCTGCACGTGCCACTGGCTCGCGTGGCTTCGTGGAAACTCGGGCTAAGACGGCGCCTTCTTGGAATAAAACTTGCCACAAAAGGAGCAATTTCAGTTTTGATGCAGAAAAAGAGTTTTTTTGCTCAATTGGTCTCGAGGAACCCGCTGAAGTCGGGTCTACCGTTCGATTGCGAAGCCATCAAACACTGCAGTGCCTCTCGCGACTACGAGCCCGAAGCGGCCCCTGTCTGGCGGACTTGGCCGATAAACTGAGTTTCTACAGCCAAGACTCTGAAGACTGTTACCTGGGGAAGGAATTGGGAGGGAAATGAGGAGCTGGTCGTCCACCAGCACTTCGACGGGCCCGGCCTCTCCGGGGTCATTCTGCAGGCCTCAGTGGACCAGTGGTCACCAGTGGTCCAGCGGCTGGCAAGGGTCCTACCACGGCAATTTTGTGCCGAATGGCCGGGTTGATGTAGAAGACGGGGGCCTGGGCGAGGGTCCACTGCTGGCCGCCGCGAGTGGCCTCCAGGCTGGCCACCTGGGGAGTAGAGTTTATAACACAATATAACAATAATATGCTTATAAAGCCCCAAATTGGTGTAGTTTGTAACATAATATGACAATAATGTATTTATAAAGCCCCAACTTGGCCCCGAAAAGGCCCTTTACTCTTTTTTCGGAGTCCAGCGTCGCGGCCAGGAAGTCCCGCTGGCCCTTCGCCCTGAAGACGAGGCCGGCGGCGGAGCCGCGGGCCAGCCTCAGGAAGACGCGGACTCGGGCGGAGCTGCACTGGTGCTGCAGCAGCAGCAAAGTGAGCTGCTGCGTCACTGCAGCACGAAGTTGCAGCAGCTTCTGGGGGTGCAGCAGCAGGGGGGCCTACGGGGCGTGAGGCTCTTGGGGGCCAGCCGCAGCAGCCCCAGCTCTTGCAAGCGCCGCCACTGGCCCGGGCTTTCCCAGTCTGCGGCCAAGTGGCTGTTGCTGCAGCAGCTGCTGTTGCTGCAGCAGCAGCTGCTGCTGCTGCTAAACCCTTACCTTCCAAGGACATGGCGGGGTTGCTGTAGGGCTCGCAGAGGGGCCCCACGCCGGCCACGGGCCTGTGGGAGGGGGGGGGCCCCCGGGCCTGGTGCTGCTTGCCGGCCTTGTCCACGGCCAGGCCGCTGACCACGCGGTCTCCCTCGCCGGGGCCAGCCTCCCCCGCGGCCTCCACGCGGAAGAGCTCGTTCTGGTGACCAGTGGTTAACCAGTGGTCACAGTGGTCACGCAGCGCGAAAGGCCCACCTCTGCGGCGTGCAGCCCCGCGAAGCGCTCCTGCTGCGGCTCCACGGCCACCACCGGCGCCGCCGACTCCGGGTAAAAGGGCGCGGCTTTGCGCGCCTTCGTGTACTCCAAGTCGCGAGTTGAAGAAGGAATGGAGTCGACGCTTTGGTCGTCGAAGTTCTGAGGCGGATCGCTGAGCCCCCCGCCGCAGCAGCAGCCCGCAGGCGCTTACCGCTATCCACGGCAGCTGCAGCCGGCGGTCTCGCGGCCCCTTTCGAAGCAACTTTGCAAAAGTTCTGCACAGTGTTCGCTTTCGGCTCACTTGCGGGCCCGGCGGGCTCTGTTTCGCCCACGGCGTCCACGCCGCCGCGCCTGCGCACCAGCCCGCCGCGGCTGCTGGCGCCAGAAGAAGCAAAAGTGGAACTGCCATTCCCTTACTTTGACGAAACTGCCTGCAGAACACTTTCAACTTTTCAGGAAACTGCCTGAGGAACACTTTCGAAGACTTTTTTCCCCGCGAGAAGGCGCTTTCTGCGGTGATCGCGCGTTCTTGAACGGCGGGTCGCCGGGTGTCTAGACACCCCAGCTGGCTGCGCTGGGGGGCGTGCAAGTGCAAGTGCTGTCAGGAAACGCATGCAAAGAGCGGCTGTTTCGTGGCAAAAAACTTTACAAAGCCCGCGGCCGTGCTGCCGGCGAGGGCCGGGCGAGTTTCCCGGACTGCAGCAGCAGCAGCAGCAGCAGCAGCAGCAGCACGCGCTGCAGCGCCGCCGCCGGCGGCGGCAGTTGCTGCGGGGAGAAAGGGCCTCTTTGCTGCACTCGTGCATGCGGGAACTACAGCGTGCGCGGCTAAGTGCGGAGACTGCTGCGTGCTGCTGCGCTGCGGGGAGGCTGCGCAGCAGCTTCGCTGCTGCGGCGCGGCGCGGCGCGCCCCAGCAGCAGCAGCAGCAGCAGCAGCAGCAGCAGCAGCAGCAGCGGGAAAGAAGTCAAGAAGCTTCTGCTGCGTCCGACTCTTCGCCGCGGCCCTCCTTCGCCGGCCGCCCCGGAGAGTCCGACAGCCCCGAGCCGTCCGAAATGGCCGCGTCTTCGTCGCTGGACTGCTGCGGGTGGACATGAATCCCTATGAGAGATTTCTACACACAACAAGCACCTCCCACGCCCTGCATGCACTTGCATGCATGCACTTGCATGCATGCACTTGCATGCATGCACTTGCATGCATGCACTTGCATGCATGCATGCACTTGCATGCATGCATGCACGCTAGCACGCATGCATGCACTTGCATGCATGTGCGCATGCATGCACTTGCATGCATGCATGCACTTGCATGCATGCACTTGCATGCATGCACTTGCATGCACTTGCATGCATGCACTTGCATGCATGCATGCATGCATGCATGCATGCATGCACTTGCATGCAGTCAGAGCTGCCCCAGGACCTTCCCCACGCCGCGGCTGCAGGCGCTGCGCACCATGGGTTCGAACTTGCTCGCGAAGCCCCGCAGCAGCCGGTGCGACCGCCCCCGCCAGTTGTCGTAAGTTTGGTGAATACTATTTCGCAGCTTCTCCACGCTTTCGTCGAAGTGCACGCCCTGCAGCCCCACACACACACACAACCCCAAACTACCCACCGCAGCCTCCTCGGGGGGCCCCCGGAGGCCCCGGGGGGCCCCGGGGGGCCCCGGGGGAAGCCGGG